ATATATATATATATATCCTGTCTCATAATTATAATATCTTGTCGTAATATTTTATAATATTTTACTCTCTTTCTCTCTCTCCCTCATCAAAATACCCTTATATGATCAGGCAACATAGATTGCACGTTTAAGACGTTTGATAAACTTGTTACTTCTATTAACATACAGGTAGGTCTCCGTAGTGCCGGGATTACATCATCGTTACTCCATACTTTAAGCATCATACAACTCAATGCCGGACTCCTTGTTGCCTTCACTTTGGCCTTGCTCGCTTTTCGCATTTACCTAGACCCGCGTATCGTCAAGGAAAGAAGTAGAAAGACTTCATAATTATGTGAATATACCCACGTAGCTCTCTAATTAGGCGTAAGTACTCCTCACGATTAACGAAACAGTATCATCGATACTTTTAAATTGTGTGTCAAGAATTAATTAGTGATTATAATCGTATGTTCATATAACAGATGTCCTTCATTTCTGCGATATAATTAGTGCAACGTACAAAATGATAAATATATGTTAAGAAGGCTGGCTGTTTTTATTCTTCGAGAGAAAATAATAAAATATTAAGACTTTTTTCAATATTATACCTAGTTTAAGAGGTGTATAATATATTTTTCTACACAACTAAATATTCTTAAAAATAATATACACTTAGAAAGCAAAAGACATATGGATTACTAATCTCTCAATAATAATAAATGTTAGAATTGTTAGCCGATAGGCAATATATTTTCTGCATTGTTAAAAATGCAATAATGGTTAGATTCCCACGTTATTTTTATCGATTAATAATCTGTTATTAATTATGTGTCTAGTGGAAGTCCGGTTTTGTCACGTACAAAAATAACTTGGTATGCATTATCCGCGATCTACATTTCTTTAGAACTTGTATTTTAGAGAAGGAACTACACTATGTATATATTATACTAATTACGTCATCAACGTGTTAAGGAATTTGAGTGTCAATGTCAACGTGATTTTGCGAATGTAGTAACTATATTGTGCTATACAGTTACATTACTAGTTAATACACATACAGTGGCGTGCAAAAATTTCCGGCCAGTGACATTTTGTAAATATAACAATTATAACTATAATTATTTTTACAAACATAAACAATATTCTTTCACTATATTATTTTGTTTCCTATATGTTATACTCGCACCTGATAATGATTAAAAAGTCATTAGGTTTTTTTTAATAAATTAGAGTACGAAATGTCACTGGTCAGAAACTTTTGCACGCCACCGTATATGCATCAAAAGATACTTCCATCTATTACCGATCTCTTTTAGAAGAAAGTATAAAATCACGATTATTCTATATACAGCAAAAAGTTATTTTTTGTTGAACTGTATAATAAATAATTATTTCATATTAATTTGTCATATCATTCTTTGGTTAAAATTGTGCGCCATATATAATTATAATATCCTCTTGTGTAATAAAACACTATAATATATATGCTAAACTTAAATAGTTTTTCATATCCGAATATAATCTCGCATCGCGAGCAACAATCCATCGTATGACTAATAATTCATTTCTGCATAAAAATTTCAAGCATTTAAAATTTCTATTATACATATAATTTTATGTATAATATATAATATATTTTTTAATTTATTTTATAATAAAAAAACAAATAGATTACACATTTACCTTGACGTTGATGAGACGGTTAAATATCCGGAAGATTTATCCTGAAAGAGAGAAGCTAAATCTAATAAATACTCAACACGTATGAGCCATTCGATCAATTACTGATACCAATTCGTGGCAATGCAGTGCTATACGGTACTTTTGCACTTGAATGTGTGACATTTTAAATGACATTCCCGCATTTAAATTTGTGTGAATCGACGAACCCTGACGACTCTGACGATGCTAACAACCGAAGGAAAAGGAGGTCTAGAAAAGACTGAGTGCCGGCGGAGCAATCCTATTAGGATTAATATTTATTATTTATATATTAATTTTTATATAAATTAGGTACGCGTATTAATTCGGTTTATTTATTTGAATGATTTAAGCAAGAGAGCATTAGAGAGAAAAATACTTTTATGTAAATTCTATAAAAGTTTCTATTTAAAAAAAAAATAATCTTTTCAGAATTTATAAAATTATTTTATCATATATTTACTTATTATTGCATGCATTGAATAAAAAATTCAACGCGTACAATAATAATTTTTTTAAATATTAATATTTTGGAACATTATATTTATAATATATGTTGAGCAATGTAGCTTCAATGTCATCAACTCTGTTGCTGCGCATCGGTCGGTAAATGATAAACTTTTATTTTATTTTGAAAGATAATAAAAATTTGGGTAAATGTTCGGATTAACTTACACCTCACGGATCGTTTTCATTTATATATATATATTGTAGAGGGTACATTCCTAAGTAGTATACGCTTTGAATTTTGTGGCGCTCTCTTCTGGTTCCAGAGATACGCGATTTTGAAGTTTCACAGTTTTAATGCTTTTTCTCAGGTATTATAAAGTAAGAAATTAGGAAAAGTGAAGTTTGTGTACATTGTATTTATTGTAGAGCAAACGAAAAAGTGTTCGTTTACATTTACGGGATAGGTATACGGTCATGGATATTTTGTCAATAATGTGTTTTATCTATTTTTCGCAGTTTGTTAACAGCTTTTAACATGCGACTACATGAATTTCTGAGTCATGTCTTCAAAAATATTATTTATTGAATGGGTGGGCGGGGGAGGGGCTCCGTCTCTTCAGCAAATCAACTGTTTATTATCTACGACCAGTTCTTGCAAAATCCCTTACGCCTTCAATATTCTGATTTTATCCTGCGGTTTTACATAACCCGCTCAACACCCTCGGCTACCCTTAGAGCTGGCACATTTTTGAATATTATTCGGCAAGTTGGCGCGAAACAGTTTGCAAAAATGTGATAAGATTTTCATCAGGTTCCAAGTGCAAAAGCCGGCAAGTGTGGTCCCATAAATCCTTGGCTATTCGATCATCTCTCGCCCTCCATTGCGGTCTGGTCACGCGACATTCTCTATTAAAAATAAAATATGATAGTAACAATATATATATAAATTTGTTAAAAATAGATTTTAAAAAAGAAAAGAAATCACAGAAAAAAAGAATTTATCACGTTTGTATATTGTTATAATTAACAAAAAAGATTTCATGTCATAGCTTGTTCTTACGCATAATAAAGACCGGTTTCATTAGCCACTTTTTCATCAATCGCACAATGTATCGTTGTTTGCGCTCCTTGTACCGGATTTTTGATGAATGGCCGCATAATATTCCGGTAGAAAAATCTTGCGCCCGGAATTATGGTTTTACTATAGTGTCGGCTTAATTCGGTTCTTATTACGCCGGGATGCAAGGAATACACGTTTATTCCGCTAATTCCTGCCTCTGTAAATTAAATTTATATTTCCAAAGAGAACTATATGCAATTTTTCTATAAGAAAAATATGTCATCTTGTCATAATATTATAGATAAAATAACTTTATCATATCAAAAAGAGATATCAGTTTTTAAATAATTTATTGTTTGGCCATTTATTTTTAATAAATAAATAATTAATCGCTATTAATTATTTATTAATTCATCTAATCTATTAAAAAATTAATTAATCGCTATTTCAATTCTTTTACAACTTGCATATGTTTATATTTCATTTTTTTACCTTTCAATCGACGTGCAAATTCCTTAGTAAATAATATGTTTGCTAATTTGCTTTGAGTATACGCCTTCAATGGACTATACGAGTTGTCCAGATTCATATCATTGAATTGTATATTACCAACTGCAATGATAATATAACAGATATTACTTAAATATTATATTGTCTTTGATATATATTATTAATATACATATATAATATTAGCCAAAATAAAAAAATAAATCTTTTAAAAAAAAAAGATGAGAGCCATGAAAGATATTCAATTTTAACAATATAATAATATTTATCTTATTTTTTTACATCTTGTTTCTCTCTGTTTCGCTTTTACGTACAAACATGAGCAAGCGATGATACGTTAACTATTCTGCAATCAGGAGCAGATGATTGTATTTTCGGCAATAGTAACAGTGTCAGGAGAAAATGTCCAAGATAATTCGATTGCAGCTGCAATTCGAATCCGTCCTTGGTCTTTTCATGCGGAGACATCATTATACCAGCATTATTTATTAGTAGATGAATAGCTGGTTCATTCGTCAATAACTTTTTAGCGCAATCTCTTACACTCTTCAAACTGCAGAGATCCAATGAATATATTGCAAGCTCGCCTAATTTATCTTTGTATTGTTCGTTATCTGTGCTGAATATTAATGGATTATGATTATGTAATACATTATTATGGATTGTACACGTTTATAGATTATTGTACATAGTTATTGACTCAAACACTTTTTCTGCTTTTTCGTAAAGAAAAAATGTGTGTGTGCTTATTTTTGTTTAAATATATTTATAGTTAGAAGTATCAGAAATTATTTAATATAAAGAATTTTTTTATTTATTAATATAAACTGTTTGCACCGTATCACAAAACAAGGGCTAATAGGACTTTAAATATTTATACAGTCGGTTATCATTTTCTGAAAGATAGTTTTTAAAAAATGTACATTTATTGTCTGTGATTGTAATATAATGCTACAACAAATATAACTAATAACAAATATTCGAAATTAATTTGTTTAAAGTTTATAGCATACTTTGTTTCTTCTTACTATGTCGTGTAAAAAATTCAAAGACAAACGGTAAATATAATTAATATTTATATATAAATTGTTGAGTGTGTAATTAAAAACTTTTTAAACTTAAAATTAAAAATAATATTGAAGACAAGTAATGTGGAAGCAAGCAAATCAAAATTTTCAACGAAATTTTCATCAACGATAAAATGTACAATTTTTGTGGATAACATTAAAAATATATTAACGCAATAAGTATTGAACAAATAAATATTAAGATAAACTTGAGAGAAGAAACATATTTTTCACATTTTTATAGAAATAATTATAAAAAAAGTTTTATATTTATTTAGATCTGTTAACAATAAGACTTGTTTGTTTAATATTTAATAATTTTTATTTTAGATTAAATCATAAAAATACATCAATACTTTTTATACTTTTATTTTATATTATGATATCATTAAAGATATAAAAATATAACAGAATCAATAACTATGTATATATACATATGGTATATGCATGATTGAATTGTTAAATGTCTAATTAATCCTCAGAATCAGTTATTGACATAATTTATATAATTTATTTTACATACATTGTTTGAAGAAAACTCTAATTTCTAATATTTTAATAATTCTCTCGTTCTCCTCGCGTTCTATCTATTTGCAAGAGAGAGAAAGAGAAAGCAAATAGAACGCATAAATAGATAGCATAAATAGAACGCGAGGGAAACGCGATAATTATTAAATATTAGAGATTAGGGAGATACTAGAAATTAGAGTTTTCTTCAAACAATGTATATGTAAAATAAATTATATAAATTATGTCAATAACTTATTCTGAGGATTAATTAGACATTTAACAATTCAATCAAGAAGATCAAGATTACGATAGAAGATGGATATACACAGAAAAATATTATTCTATTGCTAAGTAAAATGATTACTCAGTTTACTTTACGTCTTTTAAGTTAATGTAAGAAAATTTATTAGATCAGAAAAATTTAGTATATTTCTTTCAATTATATAATTTAATATTCTTGATTAAAGTATTAAATTTACTAGGATTCAGAATACATTTTGAATAAATTTGATGTTTATGATGAATTTATGATAAATTTGCGATTGATGTTTGCTGCTTGATTCATTTTGCCTTTCAACGCATTATATATAAATATTGCTAAAGCGAAAATAATTGCGCATTATCAATCATTATACATATATTTGAAATAAAGTTGGTATTTGCAGATAGTATTTTACAAAATGTGGAATCTACAATAGAAAAATATTTAAAAAACTTTAATAAAATAACGTGTGAAAAAAATTAATAAGTCTGACTTATATATATTGTTATATCGTTAGATGAATTAATATCTATGCATTTTACATTTTCTATTTATAGTGATATCTAAAATGATATCTGCAAGTATTAACTTTATTTCAATATTCAATGATTTCCATTCTACGCAGTATTCATACATAATAAATTAAGAAACAAGATTAACCACATTGCAAAAACATACATAAATACCTAAGATAAGTGCTTAAAGGATGTAAACACTGTTTGTAAAAAACCAGTGTTTTATAAAAGTCTAAATCTAAATACTAATCCGTAAAATTTATTAAAAAACAACAATCAAAGTACATGTTTTCTATGATGACAGTTGTTAATGATATGAAGTAACATATATAAGAGAAGTAGCATACATATAGAAGTAGCATATGCAGCAAATTGTTAGAATTTTACATTTATCTTTTTAAATAATTCAGTTTGTCCATAATAATAAAAATAGCTTATAGGATTGTGTGTGTGTGTGGACATCTGCTTCAAATTTGAAATGTACAATTTCACAAATGGTAACAAGTTTTTCACTCTTTTTTTTTTAAAGTAAATTTGCGTCAAACAATATTATAAGCGATTTTATATTATAATTACGATTTTAAAATTAAATTATATCCTACAGAGTAAATCCTTACTTTAACTCACAAATTATTTATTAATTTTATATTTTAAAAGGCTGAAAGTGCTTTGTATGTGTACGCAATGTCAAGCTTACAATTAGATATAGCTCTATTTATATACTGGATGAGTCATTTTAATCAACGCACGCAAATGTCTCATAAACTAAACAAAATGGAAAAAATGTTCTATACAAAAGTTGTATGGTTCAGAGGGGGTCACATGATGAAAATATGAACTTGACCTTGAGTGACCTTTTCAAGACCAAGTCAATGTGATCGATGTTTTCTTAAATGGTCATTAATACTTTTTGGGTTATTTTATATTTTATTCTGACATATTTTGATATAAAAATTAAAATCTCTCGTAAAATATTTAGTTTTCGATAATCTTACCGTAATACTTTTATGTACAGAATAATGAGACAAATCAATTAGTGTAAAGAAAAAAACAAACAATTGTTTAAAAAAATACATTGTAAATAATTACATACTTTGTCTTAAAAACAATTATTCTTTTTTTTACTAATTGATTTGTCTCATTATTTTGTAAATAAAAGTATTACGGTAAGATTATCGAAAACTAAATATTTTACGAGATATTTTATTTTTTATATCAAAATATGTCAGATTAAAATATAAAATAACTCAAAAAGTACTTAATGAAAAAATACTTTATTATAGTGTTTTGAAAAGCTTTCGAGATAAGCTACAAGAATATGTAATTAAAAATGGGGGGTTCAGAGGGGGACACATGATGAAAATATGGACTTGGCCTTGAAAAGGTCACTCAAGGTCAAGTCCATATTTTCATCATGTGTCCCCCTCTGAACCCTACAATTTTTGTATAAAACATTTTTTTCCATCTTGTTTACTTTACGAGATATTTGCGTGCGTTGATTAAAATGACTCACCCTGTATGTACCTCGGAAATGGATTATTCTTTATATCTTCAACTGCATTTTTTGCTTTTCCCACATTCCGGCAGGCCAAAATTACTCTTGCGCCTAAATGCAAACATTGTATTTATATATGATTATATTTATTTATATTCTGTATCATTTGTGTCTTATTAAAATGACAATAAATAATTAAGTCTACAATAATAATCCATATATCATACAGACAAAATTCATTAAATTATTTTATTTTATCTTTAGATGTTAAAATTTTTTCTGAATTTTAAACATTTTTACGTATAGAATTATTAGTTTTCTGCTAACAAAAAATCGATTCTAAATTAGCAAACGTGTTTGTTATTAAAAAGACATCTAAAGTTTTTGGAAGTCCTATATAAATAAATAAGAACACAAGTTTAAACAGAAACTGCACGGATGAGTATCTCAAAATTTAATAAATCTAATAAATTTCGAGGTTCATGAGTTTGATATTGTACACAAAGCACTTTTAGTCTTTTGAAATATAAAATTAATAATTGATTTGTAAGTTAAAGTAAAGATTTGCTCTGTAGAATTAAAATTTTTATTTTTATAAATTTTTGTGTACAATCACTATAAAATTTTCGTGATATAGTCACTAAAGAAGTTAATTTGATATAAGATAATATTACGATTTTAAAATTAAATTATATTCTACAGAATAAATCTTTACTTTAACTCACAAATTATTTATTAATTTAATATTTTAAAAGGCTAAAAATGCTTTGAATGTGTACGCAATATCAAATTCATAAATCTCGAAATATATTAAATTTATTAACTCTTGATGTATCTGATATGTGCAGTTGTTCCTTGAATCACTAGTAGAAGAAAAAATAGTATTTTTTTTGCAATAGGATGTTGAACATATGACATTATATTTAAAAAGTATAATTAATCGTGAAGAATTGTAGACTTCATATATCAGGTCTACCAGAAAGTTCTGTCCGTTTTTGGAATAAAACAAAATACAAATTTTTATTACCGTCAATAAACTTTATAAACTTTTTATTTTTTTTTTTTTACGTCAGTATGTATACATTAAGTGATAAAAATAGAGAGGCACACATGCGCCAAATAAACATGTGCTTACGTGTCGAGACTCGAGACTTGTTGTGATAGAAACGGACAGAACTTTCCGGTAGACCTAATATATGATTTCACTCGCGTGTATAAATGTTTTATATATTTATTACTTTTACTTAAATAAAATAATGTGAATAATACCTTATTAAATCCGGAATACTAATTATAAATCAATTCTCAAAATTAATGTTTGTTAGAAGCGTTAGTTATTGTATTTTATTTTATTGTATTGTGTATATGAATAAACAATTTAACCAAAAAAATATAGTGCTGAAGTTAAAGTAACATATTTATTAGCAATAAAACATGAATTACTTTTCTCGAGACTTTTAAGTGTTGTCCAAAAAAAGATCCTGGCTCACACACACACAATCAGAGAACCCCGTACACGTACAGAGCGCAGAGCGCTCTGCACAGTACATGTACGAGGTTCTTTGATTGTGTGCATGTTAGCCGGGACCTCGTTCCAGCAACAAGCTGCCATATCACTTCAGTCAGTGCCGACAGCTCCATAAGGATAATAAAGACAACGTATTTTAAACAGTCATTGCAATACGTTTATATATATATATATATACGTTATTCGTAAAAACATGTATTCGTAAAACATAATTTATCCGTTTATCAAATACGATTTTAATTGGTTGGAGAATAGCATTAAAAATACGAATAAATGTAGTTTATGACAACGTATATCAACCGGACATCACAACTAAAATTATACGGAATTGATATACGTTGAATCTATTATATTTAGATACCCCGTAAATACTTAATTTAAACGTATAATATACCGTCGTGTGTTAATTGGGTTTATTCTATATTTACAACTCATTTTTGTGCGAGAAATAATAGTTGTATGATGACTACATATTCTACATTTGTAATAAAAAATAGAAATCGATATTTACCTCTTCTGTAAAAATCTCTGGCGGTTTCTCTGCCAATTCCGGTATTTGCACCTGTTATTACTGCAACTTTATTATCAAGGCGCACTTTACTGGTGCAAGATTTATGGTAAGTCCACATCTGTAATTGTTTATTCTACGATTTCACTATGCGTTCTATCTATCTTAGCTTGCTAGAAGCCGATTAAGTATTACACTCACTGGTACTGGATTCGTGAGATGTGCTACATGCTAAATTGTGGTAGAGGGGCAGTTTTAAATTGTGGGTATATCCCCTCTATCACGATTTGGCTTATTACGCATCTTGAATCTGGTATCAGTGCATTACATAATAGCATATTGCAGCAAGAATATAATAGTAAGACGACGATCAACATGTGCAGTAACAAGGAAAAAGAAGGAAGGATATGAAAGAAGAAGAAAAAATGTCATTGATGGATCTTTAGTACGATATATTGTACAAATATATTACGATAATTATATTATTCTGTTGAGAATCTTAACGCTTCTATACTACATTCACGGATAGAACTCGCTTTTCGTCCGGTTTGGTCAGATTCTGCCCGACCGACTTTCTCTTTTGCCCTCTCCACACTGCCAAAATTGGTCTACAAGCTTGCAGATCTGGCTAGCCGACAGAAGGGATCCTATTTATTTATAATAGTATTAAATTTTATTAATAATTTTTAGATTGCAAAAAGAGAAAATAAATATAATAGATATATCGCGATTTAATTAATAAGAGTAATAAAATTCGATTAACAGAAAACAACTCAAGCTTTCAATATTGTGTAAACTATGTAAGCTTTATAAATTAGATGTCAGAATGCAAAAAAAAAAGAATGATTATATTATAAAATAGGTAATGTATATGTATATGTGATTTTAGTAAAGTAAAGCAGAGAAAAACGTAACGCTATTGTATAATAGCTTTTTACGATTTACGTTTTTCTCTGCCTTACTTTACATCCACAACTATGATAGACGTCTCGTTCTCTGTCATTAGCCTTTGGCTGCTTAGATTTCTGTTTGTAATTATGTTTCAAGTATGAAACATAAAAAACTAAATATAAACAAAGTCTTGGAAAAACTATATTCCATAGATTACTCATTGTTGACATAGATGTTACACATAATTTACATTGTTTACGCGTAGACGTAGACCAGTGCTGGGATTTACTTGCACATTTCGGCCCGATTCCGTGGCTCACGCCTATTGCCCCCCACTCACCGCTCGTGCGTTAGCAACGAGTCGCCAGATACGCGTAACTAATTGTAAGGAGCGCGACGCTTTATCTCAGGAGCGTCCATATATAAGAATGTCCAAATATCAGGGCTGGGTAAAATGCTTTTTGAATTGCATTTAAAATGCTAAATGTAAAATACTTTAAAAAATGTATTTAAAATGCAAAATATGAAATGGGTTTTTCAAATCCATTTTAAATGTAAATTGGATAAATAGATATTTTAAATAATTTTCAAATGCAAAATGATTTTCCTTAGTAAATTGATTTGGGTATTCATACATTTTATAGTTTTATTTGATAAGCACGCTGTTTAATTTAAGCAACAATTGTTTTTCAAAAGTATCATCGTACATGCTTCGACGATTGGGCTGCATAATCATACCCCCATACGAAAATAAGCGTTCTACTGGCGCAGACGACGGGAGCGCAGTATTATATTTTATAAAAACTTCTTTAATCGTAGGAAATGCATTAAGCGAGTCCAAACGTGTATCTTCATTTTGCAAATACTGCAAGCATTGCAGTTCAATCGTATTTTTAATGGAGGTGTTTGCAACACTTTCATCCGAAAATCCCCCTTCAAAGGTAAAAAAGCTTTCACTGTGTGTGGCTTCGGATACATTCATCGAATCATTTCGAGTTTTTGACATATGGGTTAGTAAAGATTCAGTTTCATTAACAAGCAATTCTTTGACATCATTTTTTCTTTCTTTTGGTACCCAACGTAACTTAAAGAACGGATGGCTAACAGCTGCTAAAATAGCATCGTTTACTTGGTAGGAAAAGTCAAAGTAATTACTGAATCTTTTGTTTAAGCCCTCTAACAGCATGACTACTAATTTCGCACAGTATTTTAAATGCCGGAGTTGTAGTTTTTGCAACTTCTTTTGCGTTTGCAGCAAATCTGATAAAAGTTCGCCATAAAAACAATTTTTTTCGCCTTGTAGCCTATCTAAAGCTTTCGCGATTGGTTTGACGCATTCAATGTATTCTGCTAAGAATTCCAAGTCAGTGTCCTTGAATTTTGGCAGTTCAAGTGCATCGCAAACACTACCAAGGAATTGTTTGACTGTAATAAGATCATTTAAGCAATCGAAAGTTGAGTTCCAACGAGTGACACAGGGTGATGATGAGGCCTTTCCTGTAATAGCGACATATGTCTCAGCAGCTTTAGGAGATCGAGATGTTAAATTCCATATGGCAGAGCATTTTCCAAAGGCAGAATGATGGGAACGAGTATAGCTCCCTCCACTGTTTCCAAATACGGACCCTGTTAATGCAGCTTTGATGTCCACTGTGGCTAACAGATTTAGTGTATGACTCACACAGCGCTGATGTACAGGTAGAAATATTTCGGATATGGAACCGGAGTCACCCGCAATTCCCTCAGTGGTCTCAGTTATGCCTTGTATAACAAAATCATCATCTGAATCATCATTGTCGTTGTTATCCAAATCGATTGTTTGATTGTTTTGACTGAACATCGAAAAAGCTTTCACCATGTTTGACGCATTGTCCGTTGTTACTTTTACAGTTTTTTTTGCGTCAAGTTTAAATTCACAATGTATATCGTGAATCATTTCAGCAATTCTGTCGTAAGAGTGCTTACCCTTAAATCTGCGACAAGCCAAAGCCGCACTTTCCCTCTGAAAACTTGCGTTTATCTGTGAAAGAAACATACATTTAAACAAGATATTAACGAAACAAAGATATTAACAAATTAATAAAAACTCGTTACACAAAAAAATTTTTACTTGTTCTTCTCTGTATCTAATCCACAAAGTCATATATAATTATACAAAATGATAAATATAATTTCTGATAATACTTTATCTTCAGTTAAAATTTGAATACAACAGATCGAAGTATTGCCGAATAACTGCCGATACAACAAATTTCATAAAACTTCATGAAAGAACCAGTACTCCTAACATAACAAATCAAACGTAGCTTTCAGTTTGCATTATGCATTATTATAGATAAAGATAATAGGTATATAAAACTTACCTAGTGAGCAGTTATCCCAAGGAAACTTCTTTTCGCTGATGACCAAATATCAGCTGTAGTACATACGTACTTAGTTCGTTCCAAAGTTTCTGTCAGATGTTGTAACATGGTTGTGTACTTGGTATCTATCTTTGACCGTAACGTCTTTCTTGTCATTAATTTTTATATATTTATATCCATGTTGAAAATGGATCGAAAAACGGTCCAAAATATACATTTTTAATGCATCTTTGTTAATAAAATTTAACAATAATAAGTTAACGCGTCAATACTCGTACTTTGGCTCTTATCTACCACTTAATTGTTTGCTCTGAACCTATTGTTGTTATTATATAAGATATCATGTCATGCTGTTTTTATTCAAATTTTTATAAATCATTTTTTGTAGGTAATATTCTAAAAGGTCATTTTAACGCAGACACTTGATAAGATGTATTCTGAAAAACTATTTTAACGCAAACACTTGGTAAAATATATTCTATATTTATTTAAAAAAAAATTTTATATAATATTATTAAAATATTAAAACTAATATCAAACATTTATATTTAATTTTTGACATACTTGTACATTACACCAACAATAATTTTTAAGCTATAAATTTATATCATTAATTCAGCATTCATATATCACTCAGCAATTTGACGAGAAACGGTTCTCAAAAACTTGGCAAAATCTTCGTCACATTCCAAATGCAGAAGCCGACAGGTTTGGTCCCATAAGTCTTTGGCAATTTGATCATCCTGCGCACGCCATTGTGGGGTCGCAACTCCGCATTCTCTGCGAAAGATATTATTCAAAATAATATTAAAAATCGAACAGAAAAGCATATATAACATATAATATATATTTCTGAAAAAATTATTATGTACAATATAAATAGTAAATACAAAGAAATATATAAATATTACAATTATATATATCATTATAAAAAATATTACAGAACTAAATTTTTTATAATGAGAATACAAAGAATATACATTAACACGCACACACGTATATGTAGCGTGATTCATCTTTTGATAAAATTACATTATATGGGATAATATTCTAGAAATTATTTGATTTATTTTTTTTATTACGTTTATTGATTATGCTTTGTAGAAATAATTCTATATAATTTTTTCTTTACTTGTAATAGAGACCAGTCTCGTCAGCTGCTTTTTTATCCACCGAACAATATATCGTCGTTTGTGCACCCTCTTCAGAATTTTTTAGAAATGGTCGCAAAATTAATTGAAAAGCAGTGCTCGCACCTGGAAATATTGTTGTACTAAAATGTCGACTTATTTCTGTCGTTATAACGCCAGGGTGCAAAGAATATACGTTTATTCCATTAATGTTTGCTTCTGAAAAAAATAATTCCTATTTATTAATTATTTCTGTACACAATAATCTCTTTTTAAAAGATTTTTTAGACTTTATCTTGTGTTTATAAATTAACATTTTTGTGGAAAAAGGGAGAAATCGTTTAACCACATTGTGCATTATTATAAAATTTAACGTCAAAATGACATGCGCTATATATATTGTATATATACCTGGGCAGTATTTCATCAATATCACTGATTTTATCAAATAATTTAACCAGTAATTAGACGAAGTACTAGCCAAGAAATTACTGAAATACTGTCAATATTTAATCACTGTATTTTTCTCAATGATTTGCAGTATTAAATTTCCATAAGGAATATTTTTAAACAAACAGATATTTATATGACGCGTTAGTGTAATTTTTAACAAGTCTTTTTAACAATTAGATAAATAATATTCAATTTTTCGTCTAATAATCGTTATTATTTACCTTTTAGTCGACGAGCGAGTTCCTTGGTGAACAATATATTTGCCAGTTTACTTTGCATATAGGCCTTCATAGGAGTATATGATTCCTTCAAATTTAGATCATCATGTATAGCACCAACTACAAAACATAACAATAATTCATAACCATCAATGTCATCCATTTCTTTCTATTATTGGACACTGACCTATAATAACATTACGATATTTTACGTTATTAAGACGTGCTCATCAGCAGTCCGTTTTTTTGATATCTCACTTCGTTTCCGAAAAATATGTTCGCGTCACTATAAATGCCGCACCCTGTATATGTCAAGTTTATATTTATATTGGTTATTAAAACGTACACAAGTGAAGAATCGACGACACATTTAGTATCCTACAACCAGGAGCAGAAGACTGCATTTTTGGCAGCAGTAGAAGCGTTAAAAGAAAGTGGCCGATATAGTTTGTTTGTAGCTGTAACTCGAATCCATCTTCGGTTGTTTCTTGCGGACACATCATTACGCCAGCGTTATTTATTAGTAGATGAATAGCCGATTCCTTCATTAACAAGTTTCTTGCGCATTCTTTCACACTCTTTAGACTAGAGAGATCCAATCGATAAATAATGAGCTCACCTGGATTACCTTGAAATTGCTCCCTGTCTCCTCTGAAAATTATTGTATCACTTCATAAACAATAATTATCTCATAATTATCTCTTTAAACGCAATTTCTGCTCCAATTATCAATAGAGAATTTGCATTTATTTTTGTTACATAATAAAGCTGAAAGAACATAGTCCACTTTTCATAGATCTACTAGTTATTTGATATGCGATAGGTTTTCCTAATAATTTTAACTTATTTACAATTATTGACAAACACGATTATATAAATGAATATGTATTTGTTTTATTCAATTAATTTTACTTATTTAATTAGGCAGCAATGCAACGCTTTATAAATTAATTAATGCTAAATATTCTTTTGTTAAAAGCAAATATTTCAACATAATAATTAAATAATATAATGTATACAAATATGTTATTTTTAATAATATGTAATTAATATACAATAACATAATTTTATTGATATAAATTACATATTTACAAAATATAAAAATTATCTGAAACATGTCAAACAATTATCTTAAATAGAAATAAATATCAATAATATATTTTTATTTTCTTTCTCTCTCTCTCTTTTAGTTATTTAATAACTGTTATTTTTTAATTATCAATTGCTAATTATATAT